ATAGTAATATACATTACCTACATAAATATGATTCCGTAACTATTATAACTCGTAATTTAACACAGATATACTTGTCCCCATACCTTATATACAGTTACCTATACTAGAATTTAGGAAACCCATATTATTTTAATATAGAGGGTTCATTGTCCAAAGTCTAAACACTACATGGAAATCCTGCAAACTGCACCAGCAGGTAAATCAACTTAATGCATTTTGATTTTAACTCTAATTGTATGTCTTTCTCTTTCATGAAGTTCCATTAATGGATAGCTTCACTCGAAATCAATGAGCCTTAATAGAATGTTTTTTATAACATTTTACTTACCTATTATATAATAATCTTATAATCATAATTTATGCTTAATATTATAAAAATATATTTACAGATTGTACCTATAACACTAATATATTATATATTTTTTTAAATATTATATACTCAAGTGAATACAGTTCGGTCAATCGAGTTTCAATACTTGTTCACAGAAATATTTCATTATTGCCTCTGGCATTTCTTCGAGAACTTAGCTCCTCATTATGATGCTTGTGTATTCTTTATCGACGTAGGTAATTAAGTAATAATGTATAAGTATATAATATGGTGAGATGAATCTAACGATTGGGTACACGATGGTATAAACTATAAGAAATATTATATTATTTACTATATTATACGGATATTAAACCGGTGTAGATAAACACTAAATACAATTAAGGGATGAACCCTTTAATAACATGAATATAATAGTAATAATTTGCTTTATGGAAACGAGGCTCACATTTAGAAACTTTCAAATTGAAATAAGTTGTCTGATCGATATCATGACTTCACGCTGAATTCTAATCTTACTTATTGACTCGATATGGGTATTTTTACTTTTAAGTATGTTGCATATTCGAATAAAGACAGTGACAACAAACATCTGAACCCAGTACAAAACCTTCATGTGTAGTTATTGATTTTGTATGTCCTAGGAATATAATGTAGGTACGTATATATTATTATAATATATTAATATGTAGGTACTATAATACTATATAGTTCCTGTATACACTATGCAGTATGCACATATTCATATATGTATGTGTAACACCGCTATAATATTATTTTAAAGAAAATTGTATATATATTGTATTATGTGTATTATAAGCGTTAGCTGACTCCCCCACAATATATTATAATGAAAACTAAATAATTTTTTCTTCTTCTATATATAGCTACTGTTTACCGTCTCCCTTAACGACTACCCATATATCTATATATTAGATACACAGATAGGGTACGTCCCTATCTATGTGTATACAGTTGTTGAAATTATATATTGTCGTTGTGCGCGTGTTTAATATTATACGACTCAACGAACTTATTATTGCCAATCGATGAATTAGGGTGGATATATGTACATAAATATCAATCATACCTCAAAAAGTTTAACTTGATTATAATACCTATAATAGATATGTGACATCTAAAATTCTTGAACCAATCAAATAATGTAATGTATTTATTAGTTATTTAATTTGAATATACTTAATTAGTAATTTTAAGTATACATTTGTGATAAACATAAAAGCATTTTAATATACTACAAAAAAGTACTTGTAAAGTATTTAGAATACTTTTAAAATGTATACTTAAATACTTTTGAAAGCCAGACGACAATAATCGAGTAAAAAATATAAATATGACACCAAGTATTTAATTACGTATTCTGAATAGGTACATTTGAAAAGTATTCTTAACAAGATTATAAATAGATTCCAAATAAAATATTTATTCTCAATAAAATCATATTAATTTGTTTATTTTTCAAATTTGGTGACTTAAAATACGCAAACGTAAATCTACTTGACTTTTTTTGATTAGTTAGTAAGTACTTAGGTACCTAATTATAGTTATTAAACTTAAACATAAACATTAGAAGATAATAAAATCAATTATTTTAAAATTTTACGTTTTTAATCAATTCATAGCACCTAAAATGATAACTAATAATTTATGAATAATGTAATTAAATAACTAACATTTAGTGATTATAATTAATATAAATAAGTATTATTAATATTAATTGTACACCAAATATCAAGCCACCATACTTTTTTATAAATGTAATTTTATAGGTACATAGGTATATTTATTATTACACCTATATCAATTAGGCTTAGGTATACACGTTATGCCATTGTAATTTACGCAGAACTATATTATTTGTATTCACATTTAATTTAATTGACAAAACAATCTATAGGTAAGTAATTATATATAGGTACATCTTAATAGTACCAATTTAATCTAAAAACATATTTCTATTTAACTACCTACCTACCTAAGGTTACTTTTCTTACAAATGTTCACTGTAGTCTGTTTGGTATTCTTAGTAGTCAGTGGTTTGTATTTTTATTAGTTATGACTGATGAATTGTGATAATTTAAAGAAAGTAAAAAAACGTTGTTATTTAAGGGGGCTGGAAGCTGGAAAGTATCATATTTTAAGGAGTAATAATCAGGCAATTTATATGACATGTACATTTGGGTTGTTTCAACGTCTGAGTACTGAATAGTAAATTAAAATTAGTCCACAATTTGCTATCATTTTTAAGTCTGGCACGCTCACACTTGTGTAAAATAGTCATGGAAAATTAAAAATAACTAGACAAATTACGAAGAATAATTAATAAATAACAGTCACATCAAACTTTAAATAAACGAAAATACATCTTCTTTCCCATTTTTATAGATTTGAGACTGTTTATACTAAAAATCTCTACAAGTAGATTTGTTTAAAAATATTGTTAAAACAAATGTTAAACCATAGATACTTGACATTTGCACCAAATATTTATTAAATTATTTTCTATACATGATAAAATTTTAGAATATATTTACTGTTTTTGAGCTATATCAAAAAAATTTCGATAAAAATGTTTACGCTCAGTCAAAAAGCTTGAAAATACAATACAAGGTTCCTTCTTTATGTTAAAGCCGCTTAAAAATATTAAATAAGACACATATTCACAGTTTTTTTTCAATCATTATAAGTTCAAATGTTCACAAAATTCTTCAAAACATCAAAATTTACTAGAATCTAAAATCAGTTGAATTTGAATTTCAAAAAACAAAAAAAAGGTGCTCTGCTGTACAGTAGGTTAAAAGTGGGTTACTGTATAATGGATGGTATTCAAATTGAATTCAATGATAATATAATATCATTGTATAAAAAAAAACGATTCTGGGCGAAGATGATGTGTCATTTCTAAGGTATTAAAAAAAAATTTACCAATAATAGGTACCTATAATAAATTCCAAATTAATCATATCACAATATCAATTAGGTACTTATAACGCGTTCTACATCAATAACAAACGATGATACTATCATAGATATATAGTAGTATACTTTAAAAGTTTCAAGTACCCACGAATAATATACAATCACAACAAGTCAACAAAATAACTAAAATAGTTATTCTAGGTTTTTTAATATGTAATTTCGTCCAAATTTGAACTTTAAATGCTCATAAAAAAAATTGTGCCAATGTATTTTTAATATTTTTCAACTGCTATTGTAACAATATATCAGGATCCTTGCATTAAATTTTCACGCTTTTTTACCCAACAAATACAATTTTATTGATATTTATAAAAAAAAAAACTAAAAAAAATTTAAAACTGACTATGTCAGTAACAACTTAAAAAGAGTCACATTATTTTCAAAATTTTATCGTCTATATAAAATGCTAATATAAACATTCTGTGACATTTTCAAGTATCTACAGTCATTCGTTTTTTAATTACAACAAAATAAGTAATAAACAAATTAAACTGAAAATGTCCGTAAAGAGCTCAAAATAAGTCAAAATATTTGGAAAATGTTATGGTCTATAGAAAGTGCTAATATAAACATTCAGTCGAAATTTCATGTACTTAAGGTCATTTGTTTAAGAGTTGCACTAAAAACCAAAACATTTTTTCGAAAACATATTTTGCGTGCAAATTCCCGTTTGTCCTTAATTTTTCTTTTGTTTTTCACGGCAGTTTGGAAAATTACTAGAACATTTTTACCTTTGACCCCCCAAAGTACCAACTAGATACACTTTCCTATCAGAAAAGAAACTGTTGAAGAAAATCCAAGCACTTTTACTGTGATAAAAGGTGATGAACGACACAAAAAAAAAAAAAAACATTGTAAAATCAATACATTCATCGTTCCATTCAGAATCTAAAAATATAATTACCATAAGTTCTATAAGTACTTAGGTATCTGCTTTCTACTTTTCATATGAAAATGAAATATTCTTATAATACAATGTTACTAATTAGTAATTAGTAGTTAATTTAAGTCAACATCAAGGCTTCAAATAACAGTTAAAAACATTTATCAAAACTAATATTTATTATATTATATTATAGATAATCAATAATTAAGAGTACCTAGGTACCTACACCACACCCGCATTTGTTGTCTCAGTCTTACAAACGAGTAACAAACCAAATTTAAGCTCACAAATTCAAGTTCTATGCCGTTGGCTTAAAAATTAGAGTGAATCGACCTATGATGAAACTTGATGGTAAGAACATAATCTGTGTTTTGTTGAAAGCATTTTTACGATAATTCAGTTTTTAATTGAGTTATGATCATTTTTAATTTAAATTTATTATACAAGCATAACTCACTAGCTAACTAACCTAGAAAATTAAAGATTGACCTATAGGCTACAATTAATACTAGAAATTCTAGTATAGATATCGAAAGATTCAAACAAAAACTATCGTGTCGAATCAGGCCCGAAACTAATAAGTACCAATAAGTAATAACATTATTGTCGTCGTCGTTCACTGTTCAGTCGTTGTACCTATTATAGTCTGTACTTAATAGCAATATATTATTTGTCAATTGTCATTAACCAAACACCTCCCCGGAGTTCGAATGCTGGCCGAAGGACGAGAACACGGCGGTACGAGATTCACGATCGTTCTCTCCACAGTCCATAGTCCACGGCATGTCTGCACCACCATCAAGAGTAGGTACACGTCATTATCAGCCGAAAACTAAAGAATTATTCCGCCGTTGGAGGCGAAGCGCTTCGGGCGGTGTAAGAACATGTGAATTCCACAGGTGGAAGGGGCAGCGTTCGTTACGCCTAACGCAGCAGCGTCTACTCACTACAACAACAACACTATTGTTACTGCCTGCCGCCGAAACGGATAAACGACGCTCAAAACTTATCATTCATTCGTCAGCGCCTGTTGGTCAAATGGTAGCCATGTTTTTTGTGCCTTTAGTTCGGTAAACGATTATAACGTTTATTTTTTTCGTAAGTGTTTTTCACATTCGGTCGGCGATCACGGTATTTTATTTCTTCCTCTTCGTCCGCTCGTGCGCGGAGAATTAGTCACATTTTTCCGAGATGAAGAACGTCTACAGCGTCCTCGTTGTACTTTGCATCAACCTCGGTAAGTATCGTTACAATACTCTCCGATAATGATAAATGGCGGCGTCGGATTGACAGACGGCCCGAGTGCGGATCCGTTGTTGTCCAACTCGGGTCTGATGGTCTCACGACCGACTACAATCCGGGCGTGAACGCGTTTTGCTGTCGTCGTTGAATTGGGGAGTGGCCCTCCTGTTGATATGATCTTTAAGAACGGTGCGACATACCGACTCGACTGTACGAGACGGTCAGCATTGATATCTTGTATATTGATATGTATTGGGTACAATTATATATAAAAAAGTTTTTATTTTATCCAGACTTTGTTGCTATTTCTGGTGCAATATATCGCTTGTCCATTAAATTCAGTGCCTAGTGCTCCCGCCATGACATAACTGTAATTGTAGTTTAATTCATGATCACGTACTTTTTTTTTTAATGTTGGTTGTCAGGAGCTCTTCAAAACTTTACTTTGTAGGTAATCTATGTGCAGTTACTGAAAAGACAAAACTTTGTAATCATAATCAATAGGTACTTATCTATTTAGGTATTCCCTTATTATTTACCATCAATTTTATTTTCACTATTGAAGGATATTTTTAATATTTTTCTAACGCAAGTTACATATCTATAAGTAGTGTATTTCTGTTCAGTTTTTAACTTATAGGTACAAGCATACATTTGTCACCCTAATTAATACATTTTTATCAAGACCCCCTTTCAATAATACATTTTTTTCATAACGTACAAAATATTGAAGTTTAGTATTAATTAACTTATATGGGTACCTATATTATATTTTACAACTTTTATGAAAATAAGTTGCTTCTTAGATAAGTCTCATTTTTAATAAAGGACTAAAAATTCCTTGCAGTTAATTAATATTTTATTGTAATAATTGTTACCTATCATTACCTACATATTTTATTAATATTTTTTTTCAGAAAATTATTTTCCTTAGTTTTGGGTACGATACCTATCTTAGAACAGTAATTCAGGTGTATTAGAAAATATTGCCACTATACTTATAATTACGTATGATATTGATATTAGGAACAATTATAATTTTTTTCTCTCAACTTCGTTGAATCTATGATAAATATTAAAAATTCAAATAGATATATTTTTTCAAAACCATGTAATTTGAGGTATGCTAAAAGTTTAATTGGTTTAAGAATTATTTTAGTTATTCGTGGCAAGAAAGCAAAAATTCTTTAAACTTAATTTCTATATTTATAAATGTACCTAGGTAACATATATAATTATATATATTTTTTAAATTCAATTTTATAGATATCATTAATTCTATGAACTTGTACAATCATTATAGAACTAAATATTTCACGTCTATTTCTATGTTTTCAAGTACTTTTAATATACCTACCTATATTACAACAATTTGGGAAATACCATTGATTATAAAATATTCTATAGTGTGCTCACTAGCTGGTTTTTCGGTGGCAAGAAATATTTACTCCCAGTCAATGGCAAGGTGACGTGACTAATAGCAATTACAACGTTACCGACAATACTAATCCAGGGAGCCGTGTTATTGGATCCAGGCTTGTGGTTACCAATGTCGGGTAACATTATAATTGCTAGTAATCACATCACATCACCATTTACCGAGAGTAAATATTTTGTGCCACCAAAAAACCGACAAGTGAGCAATCTTTAGTATTTATAATCAATGGTAATAATTTACCATAATGGTAATTATGTATAAATATCAGATGTGTAAATTTAGGATGTATAATTAGTTCAAATTTGCCCATTAATAAAGTACTCTTAGATTTGACAATAATATTATGTTTTCAAAATGTGATTATGTTAAATAATACTGAAGGAGCAAGCGTTCTTCAAATTTATATAACATAATACAATCCAATTATTTCATCAAATTCACTTATAAAATAATTAATGACACTGACTATGGAATTTTATTATTTCGTTATAAGTGTCACAAAAATTAAATTTCCTTTAAAGTCAAAATACTTAGTTATATCCTTGATGCATACTTGTATACATTTAGGTACTAAAAAAATATAGAAATAATTTCAATTCTATTAGGTATAAGGCTAAAATTAATTAAAAAATTTAATTCTAATTTAGTTGAAACTACTGAACCATATGAAAAAATACCATGTGATGACTTTTATTTAAAATCTGTTGGTTTGGATGAAGCAAAGAGGTACCTAATAAATAATTTTAAAGATCATACTGATAATAATTATTAACTATAACTATTGACTTAAGTGAAGTTAATTTTTTTTTATAAATTACCAGTTTAAAATATTAAATTAATATATCACTTCACTATTAATATAGAAAGCTTACAGTTTAATCAACACTACACAAAAACTAAACAATAATATTTCATAAGTCCAGTGGACAGTTAGTAATTGGCTATTTAATATTTTTAAATATAACAATTGAAAATAGATTTGAGCATAACCTAAATGGTTAAATATTTTATCAGTAACTATTAATAACAAATGTCATTTTTTATCATGATAATTATTTTTTGGTTCAGTATTTTTTTTTTTTTTAGAAGCACGCATTATTTATTATTTATTATTATTCTTAAATTCCATGGTATTAAAAATAAATTATTTTTATTGAACACATGCTAATGGCAATAAGAAACAAAATTTAAAACAATTTTTATGTTCAATTTATGTGTAACTATTTGTTATATTGATTAGTTAATTACTGACTTAACTCTGATTTTGTTAAAAATAACACATTATTTCTTTAATTATTATAAAAAAAAACAATAATAAATAAAAGTTAAGTTCATAAATTTACAACCTTTATTTTATTAGTAAACATAAGACTTGAAATATATTATTATGAATAAAAAAGTTCTTAACATAAACAGATTTACTGAAAAAAAAACCAAAATGATAATAATATTATAATTGATATAATTGGTTTATAATTAATATAATGTAAATATTAAATCAATATAATTTTAATATAATAAATAGTTTGTAATCACAGAATATAATAATAATAATAATAATAATAATGCAATCTATTTTGCTGTGTTATCAATATTACAATCTATAATGTTATGAAGCTTAAAATGCTGGCAAAATTTTAAAAAAAAAATAAGCTAAATTAATTTAAATATAATATAAATAATAAAAATATTAATATTATATCTAATTTATCAGCTGAAGTGTTATCAATATTATTCTATAATGTTAGCATGTTAGGTATTTTAATAATTTCCATATATATTATAATAGGTATATTAAATTCAAAACTTGGTAAGACACGAGACAATAATACAATACAGTAAAGTCACTGTCAGCACTCAGCACAATGATCAAAAGTGTATTTTTATTTGATCTTTATATTCTTCTAATTTCAACTATATATATTGACAGATTAACTTGTCAGATTTCTCTAATTATATTGTTTAGTTGTTCTTAATTTTATAGTAGTAATTTAGTATAAATCTACAGGGAATTTCTGAAACTAAAATTCATGGAATAGCAAATCAAACTACTTTTCTATACAGAGTGCTTATAACTTATATTCTATCATATATTTACTTATTATGTTCATTTGTATAGATTTTTCTCAATAAAAGTATATATGATATTTTTTTTCTTTCTGAAACTCTTAATATATTATTATTATTATAACAATATATAATAAATAATAATTATTAGTTATTACTTATTACCATCATATTATAAAACCTATAGTAGGTACTTATGTAAATTTGGAAAAAATAATAAATGTCTAATAAATTGGACAAAATAAATATATAAATAATTGTTTAATATTTAAATGTATAATTTATTTTTTTATAATATTGATAACACAGCAAATAGATTGATATTATAATCTGGGATTATATAATTATTATTATTTTGGTTTTTTTTCTGGGGATTCGTTAAACAGTATAAATTAGATAACACAAGTTAGTATAATCTAGAAATACTATAATAACAACTATTGTAATGAATATACTCAAAACTGTGGAAATTATATAAAATAAATGAACTTAAATATTCACGACGTCAATTATTCAAGCTTAATATAAGGTACTATTATTATATACAAATTATATTACTGAAAAGCCATGAAATCCTTAATCATCAATGTGATATGTCAGGAGCCTCTACGGAGGACGCTAAACAGACATTTGTTGTCTCCGTCTTACAAGTGTATAACAGAGCTAAACGTGATCTGCTGTGTCAAATTTGCTGTTACTTGAAATACGGAGGAAAAAAATGTCCGTGTAGCGTTCTCTTAATATATTAAATAATAAAAAGAATTTTTAAAAACTTAAATTTCATTACTTCTCTATCGCTATCTATATAATGTTTGCTTGTGATGCCGAAGCGTATCACACATTTAGCCCTTGGTAAAAATTAGTTGGAGGCCCCTGTGTTATACTATTATTAAAATAATGTAGATTTGAATTTAATAAAGCTTCCGGCACCATGTTTGCAATTATGGTTAATATAGTTTCAAATTATATTCTAGTAGTAATTTTACTGTTTCCAACTCTTATAAAATATTTATTTTTTTTGCCAATCTTGTGATTATGTTATATTTAGAGTGGTTAAGTCATTTATGTTTTTTTAAGATAAGTTAGTGTGACTTGGTAATACATTTTTTTAACTGTTAATACATAGAAACTGTTATTTAGATTAACAGTGTGTGTTGAAAAATCCTTATCAAGGGCAATTTTCAAAAAAGTATTTTGATTTATTTGTAAAATGTTAATACATGATCATAAGCATATGATTCTGTACGATATAATAGTTTGGTGATAGCCTTGTAAACTGTACGGAGTTTCCTTCTATCCCAAATATTTCGTAGCTCTCTAAATAGGTAAAACATTTTCCTAATTTTATTTGGAACTAGATTTATATGGTCCATCCAATGCATGTTACTGCACATTTCTATACCTAAATATTTTGTGTGTTTATTTATTTTTTTATTACATACTATTTGGTGTACAAGAGTTGTATAAGCAGATAGATTCTATATTTTGTAGTGTATTTTCTATTAAGGAGTGAAAAAAGATCCAAGATTTATCTAAATTCAAAAAACGATTGTTATCTGCTAACCCTAGCTCAATAATTAAATCTGATTTGATCGAATGATTTATTTCGTCCCAGTTTTCATAATTGTTAAATTTTATTGACATTTTTATTTCCTTAATTAAGTATTATTTTTATATTCTAAAAAACTTCCAACCCATTTTCTTCAGCGTAATAACCAACCACCGCCCATTCTTATTTATTCTTGCAGTTGGCAACAAAACATATTTGTCGTAAATCATGTTTTTGGCTTATACTTAATACTTATATTATAAATATTATGATGTTGCATAGTAAAATTATTAATATTTAATTTTAATTTTAGCGTTTTCTCAGAGGACACCCACTATATCTCATATAACACAAAAACCTATAAAAGATATTGGTGGCACAGCGGAGATGACATGTTCAGTTTTATATGCCATGGATTTCCCTGTTTTATGGGTTAAGGTGGATAAAGAAAAAATAACTGAACCTGTTATGCTTTCATCTGGAAGTACACTTATTATAAAAGATTCAAGATTTTCATTAAGACAAGACATTGACAGCACTAGTTACACACTGCAGGTATTTAAACATTGATTTAAATACATTTTTACGATAAATGTTATGTACTATACTTGTGTTATATTTGTGTGTTGATCAATAATCTAAGCATTTAGGTATGTCTCTTATTTTATTTTGAAATAATTTTAATTTTTAGATTAAGGATATTCAAGAAACTGATGCTGGTTATTATCGCTGTCAAGTATTGCTTGGGTTGAACAACAAAATATCTGCTGATGTAGAGTTAGAAGTGCGCAGACCTCCTATTATTTCTGACAACTCAACTAGATCATTGGTTGTAAATGAGGGTCAACCAGTAAAACTTGAATGTTATGCTGGTGGATTTCCTAGTCCGAGAGTTTCCTGGAGACGTGAAAACAATGCTATTTTACCCACAGGCGGATCAATTTATAGGTACTAACAATAATAATATATATAATATGTATATTAAACATTAACATAAATTAAGCATACATTTCATCTTCTAGAGGTAATATTTTGAAAATTCCGACAATAACTAAAGAAGATCGTGGAACCTATTACTGTGTAGCTGAAAATGGTGTTGGAAAAGGAGCCAGACGTAATATTGCCATAGAGGTAGAATTTGCTCCAGTTATAACTGTTCCTAAACCTCGTTTGGGACAAGCTCTACAGTATGACATGGATCTCGAATGTCATGTTGAGGCTTATCCTCCACCAGCCATTATTTGGATAAATAATGGAATACAGCTATCCAACAATCAACATTATAGGTAAATTTAGTGGTTGAGTACTTGAAAATGTTTCTATTATGATAAAAATATTGAATGTAGTTTTCCTTTTCATTTAGAATCTCGCATTTTGCTACTGCAGATGAATTTACAGACACTACAATACGTATTATTACAATTGAGAAACGTCAATATGGTGATTACATTTGCAAAGCATCAAATGTATTAGGAACTGCTGAAGTTACAGTTAATCTTTATGGTAAATATTAGTTTCATTAACATAATATGTATAAGATAGTTTTCAACTTACTTGCCTTAAGTTGTGTTGACAAAATAAAAAAGTATTTCATACAATTTGAAATTAATTTTAATGTCGTTTTTGCATAAAAAAAATTGTAGTATTCCCTTAACTAAATTTCTCTGTCTTGTTTTCAAAGTATATACATTCTAAAAATTTACTTTAGATATTCAATATGTTTTAACCAACATTCAAGATAATCTGTTATAACTAACCACATTTTTATTCTTGTTACCGAATCCTAGTGTTGTCTCTAAATTACAAATGTATAACAGACAATTTTTAGTTCGCAGTTGTCAATTTTACTCTGTTATATTTAAAATTAGAATTACTTGATGTTTTATAAAATTTAAAGGTGAGATTATCATCCCGATTCGATCTAAGACGTTTTATCAATATTTTAATAAGAAAGCAAATACAATCAGCATTTCAAAACTAATTTGTTAGTACATTTTAAAATGATCATAACTTGCTTCAAAATTAAAATATCAATAAAAGTCTCTGAAACGCCTAGATAATAATCTTACCTTTAAATTTTATAATATGTGCATTCACTCTAATTTTAAAAATAACAGTGTAAAATGGATTATAATATTGTGAAAGTAAAGTTAGATATGTTATACGTTTGTAAGACATAGCAAAACCTATTGCATTGTCCTTATAATTATTGCAGTATACAAATTTATTGTGTCGTAATATTTATTATAAAATAATTTTATGTTTTCCCTATAATTTCTATAATTTATTCAAGTTAAGAAGGAATCCCAGTGTCCATTTGTATGCAGGACTGGCTTAGATACACATGTCGTGTGTACAGATAGTTGAATTGGTGGAGGTAACATACGAGTGTTGCCTGACCGTCTAGATGAAAACTGGTGACCTCCAAGGTTTTATCTGAAGAGGATGTTGTACCCGCATGTGTTGTCACCTTTTTATTAATGTATAATATATCAAAATGTACGACCAGCAGTTACTATTTTATGTTGTTAGCTTAAGACTTAAATATTAGAGTGAATTTGAATAAGTAAAGTATTAATATTTTAAAATACTCATAATTCACTTAAAAATTAAAATAACATAAAAAACCAATGATAAAACACGTATAATATTCTTACATATAAGTTTGAAAATAGGTCAATTCACTCTTAATATTTAAGCTATCAATACAAAATTGGAACTGCTGTACATACATTTTGGTATATTATGCATTATACTCCGGCCCACGAGAGAGTATTACCGTTTTGCGCATGCAGACTGACGGCGGAGACCGTTCCGAGGCCCCATTTCCCCCACTATTTCCGCGACCGCTATACACCGTATAGCGTTGAGCGCTGCCGACCGGTACCGAACAGTTGTCGGCACATGCCGAGTAGTGGGGAATGCGCGGAATCGGACGAGTTTTCGTCGGGCGACGGTAATACTCTCTCTTGGGCCGGAGTATAGTAAGATGGACGTTGTGTCCACAACATATACGGGTACGACAAGTTTTTAACGTAAAAGCAGTATATTTTTTAACGCAATTTAACTTTTATTGTTTGTTAACTTTGCAGAAACAATAATACCAGTATGCCCACCAGCTTGTGGCCAACCATCATCACACTTAAGAAGCTCCAGCATCAAAACTGCCAGTGTAAATGTTTCAATCTTGATTGCTACATACCTATACTTTGTTCACCTTTATTTTTAAATTACTTTCCCATCAAAGAACAATTACAGTAACGTAGCTGGAGGAATTAAAAATCTTTTTCTACAGTTTTTATATTATTACATTTGTCTAAAACCTCCCCTTGACTTTCCAAGGCAACGTCACAGGTATATATATAAGCAACTGATAGTGCCTTTATTTTATACTTGATTACTACGTACATATTGTACACCTAGATCTGTTCATAATTATTCCGTCCAAGAACCAATTATTAATGTGTAAGCACCAATATTATTGCTTTGTTATTGTCACAAGCCTATAATTTGTTCACTTTTATTTTAAGATTATTTATCGGTCCGTCCATTTTTAAAAAATATATATCTAATTGATTTTATAAGTTAACTTTTATTTAATGTAATTTTATATTAATAAATTTTATATTTACATTTTATTTTGACTAAAAGTATCTTACTGTAATGTGTTTGGTATGTACAATTTGGAAAACGCAGCAATATTTTCAAGTACTGTTTCCAAGCATAAACTTGGTATCAGCTGATCTACAATTAACAGTCATACAAATAAATGACTACATTAAAATTTTTAAATAGATAAAGTTGCAAAAATATTTAGTAGGTTATCACCTCGATAAATATCCATCATTAATTGTTTAGTGATATAGGCTGATGGACATTCTCTACTCAGAATCATTTTTCACATTATTTTATTTATTTATTATAATCAACGCCAGATGGCTTTTATACAATAGATTATTATAATTATTATACAATCAAGAAAAATATAGATAAAAAAATAAAGATATATTTTAGCAACTTATAAGAATCTTTACATATACTTACTTAACATTTTAATGACTATCTAATCTGAAAAACTTAAATGACATGGGCAAAAAAAGAAAAAAAAGAGAGAAGGAAAAAAACAAACTTTGTGTAAATAATATTAAAACAATAGATATTTTTTTGTGAGCCTCTGTACTAAATGTGGTTTAATAGTTAGTATTATGCAATGATAAATTTTTAGATTCTGAGTGGAGTGATGATTATGAATGTATTGATTGTGCAATAATGTGTGTTTTTTCTTCTTTCTTTTTCTTTCTTTTTTTATTTGTGTCTGTCATCACCTTTTAAGACAGTAAAAATGCTTAAATTTTATTTAACAGCACTTTTTCTGATAGGAAAGTAAATGTTGTTGGTACTTTGGGGGAAGGGGTCAAAAGTACAACATTTCCCAGTAATTTTCAAAAGCGCCGGGAAAAACATAAGAAAAATTTAAGGAAAAACTGGAATTTTTATGCGAAATCATGATCTATTTATATATAAATTAATGTTTGTATGTGTGTAGTGTGTATCCTTTATGCATTCCTAATCCGATTGTGATGAAATTTTGTACAGATGTAGATTAGACCTCTGGGTAGAAAATAGGCTAATTTGAAAAGGGTAAATTATAGGTCCAACCCGGGGTGGTGCTTAAACAGGGATTTTTACATCTACGGTGGAAATGTTAGTTTATAAATGGTGGCTATTGGTTTTAATAATAATTATTATTATTAAAGCGATACCCCTGTTAAAATTTGATATTTGGTAATGTTTTAAATTTAGGATTATATTGCTATATTGGTTTATTGACAGTGTCCCTTTGTTCCCATAAATATCTTGTATTTTAATTAGTATTTATAAATCTGTATTTAAAAGTAAAAGAAGTGTATTACATGGCCACATTCTTTACATAATATTAAAATAATTTCTAATATTAAAAAAAAATTTAATTTAATTTAATGGAATACTTTTAAATAATATTTTATTACTTTTTAAATACTAATAGTATAATTATTTCTAGTGGTGATTTTATTTTACACTTATTTTTATGTTAAAGATAATTTTATCCAGACAGTATTTGGATACATAAAAATAAGTGTAAAATAAAATCACTACTAGAAATAATTATACTATTAGTATTTAAAAAGTAATAAAATATTATTTAAAAGTATTCCATTAAATTAAATTAAATTTTTTTTTAATATTAGAAATTATTTTAATATTATGTAAAGAATGTGGCCATGTAATACACTTCTCTTAAATACAGATTTATAAATACTAATTAAAATACAAGATATTTATGGGAACAAAGGGACACTGTCAATAAACCGATATAACAATATAATCCTAAATTTAAAACATTACCAAATATCAAATTGTATAAGGTAACCTAAGTTTATAGAAACTTTAATATTCAACTATTAAATTTACTGTTTGATCTCATATTCATCCATAACTTAATTTTTTATTGGTTAATAAATTAATTTACTTGTATAACACAAACTCCAGAGGCAGGTCCAAGATGAATTTGTTTCCATTGATCATACCACAACCTATACGTGGGATTTCTGGAAGCATTAGCCAATTGTTCAAAGTTTGGCCCAAATTCTATTTCAATTATATGTATAAATAAGGATTACTGATTTACCGAATAACAAATCTATTAGATTTAAATGACTTTAGAACACACCAACTTGTTTATGTTTGTTGGGAATAATATTTTATATAATTATTAATGTAATTTTCATTCAACAGATTAGCACGCAGTAAACTGGGATTAATTTGAATAATATTAAAAGTATCCATATTAAAATTTAAAAGTATCTACCAATTGTCATGAAAGAAGAGTAGGTACCTATCTAAATTTTGTATTAAATAGGGATTAGCGAATTATGATTATAATGCTAATGCTAATGAACACAAGTATTATCAGACAACACAATATTCTATGCTAGTTGCAATATATTATATTACTATGTATCTACATAGTACATAGTAAAAATAGGTTAATAATAATAATTGTAAATTGTGTAGTGATAACTACTTGATAGACGATAGTACAACTACTAGGTTTAAAATTATAATACCGATTTCCAATTATTATTATGCTGATTGCAAGGGTAATAAATAATAAGTAATAACTAATAATTGTACCTATTATATGATTATAGGTAATACAATATTATTAATATGATCTCATGAATTCAGTTGTGTTATTAATTAATGTTGCAATTAAGTATTGATAATTTTAACTTGAATTCCTTATAAAATAACAATATTATACTGGGTGATTCTTTTATCAAACAACACTCATTATTTTAAAAAGTGTAAATTTTTTTGAAAATATTTTTTACATAGTTTCAAGTCGCTTATCAGACAATGTTTTTATTAAAAAATTATATTTTTAAATATTTTTTATCCTTATAATTTTTTAAGTTTTTTACTTTTTTGAATAACAACATAGGATTTTAATTTTATATTCCAAAGCAGAATATTTTTCTTAGTATTTTGATACATGAAAAACGAATTTGGGTTGAGTAGTTTATGAGTTATAAATATTCAAAGTTTGATGAGCGGTGAAGTGGACAAACATTTCGCGGGGTAACCCCGAACCACTCCACTCCGCTCGTCTAAACTTTAAATACTTATAACTCGTAAACTACTCGCCTTAAATTCGATTTTAATGTATCAAAATACTAAGAAAAATATTCTACTTTAGAATATAAAATTAAAACCCTATGTTGTCATTTAAAAAAGTAAAAAACATAAGAAATTATAAGGATAAAAAATATTTAAAAATATAATTTTTTTATAAATACGTTGTTTTATAAGCGACTTGAAACTATATAAAAAAATATTTTCAAAAAAATTTACACTTTTTGAAATAATGAGTGTTGTTTGATAAAAGAATCACCCAGTATAATCATTATGCACTATCTTTAAGAAGTTGTTATAGAAATAATTAAATACAACTATAATCAAACAAATAAGCATACAAATATAATTATGAAATTAAAAATTTTTTATTTGGTACTTATAATTTTATTTTATCTAGGTATTAGTATTTTAGTTGATTTATTGATACTTTATAATATTGTATAAGTCATTAAATAAGTTATAAGTTAAAAGTTATTACATTTTTCAATATAAAAAAATATTTATTGTCATAAATTAATATTGGATACCTACCTACCTACTTATTTGAATGTTTTTATTTTATAGTTACCTACTTATTATTAAATGTGTATTTAAAAGTACTAAATCATTCAAATGATTTAAGTAATATTAACCTAGAAATTAATAGAATTAACTAATTTCTAACTCAGAAATATTAAAAAAAAAAAATTGTAATGATATAATATATATTATTGTATACATAATAGTGTATTACAATTTTGTACATCTATTAGTTGATAATTTTTAGATGATTTAGGCATTTTATAATAGACTGAAAATAGACGGATTTAGACATCTATTGGTTGACGATTTGTAGAGGGTTTGTATGCATTTTATAATAGACTGTAGATATACAATTTTGGGCATCTATTAGTTGATGATTTTGGCATTTTATAATATACTAAAAATAGACAGATTTAGACATCTACCCATTGGTTGACGATTTTTGATGGATAGTTTTAAATGTCTATATGTAGATGATTTTAGACATAGTATAATAGATGGATAGACAGTTATTATAATAGTCAATACTCAATTTAAATTCTAAATAACCGGGATGGCGGGATATTATAATACGCTCGTCTCAGCCATAGATATAATAATGCGGTCGAATGTCGAAATGTTGATCGAAAAATACACTCAAGACCGGACTTTTTTGCCGATTTTTTCCTTTTCTCCCACCGTTTCGTCTATTCGCACGCCGTTTGTGCCCGAATCGTGTAGTCGACGTCTTTTTAAAGCCGTTTATATGCGCTTTTCCCCCGAAATCGGTTCGTTCGCCTCGCAATCGCATTTAGAAATTACGCCGGCGACCGACCGACCGTACGCTGTCAGGGCGTCGAAACCGTCATTGCCATATGGACATATGGTTAACACGGCCGCCCGAAACCCGACTTTTTTTTGAATTTTTTTTCACTATATTTCGGTTGTAATAATATGCATTTCTTTGACGTTTTAATAGTAGATGTTATGTAGATGTCAACTCTTAGATGTCTAATATCAGTTAGGTGTAGACCCAAAAAAGCGTTGCATATAGACCTATTCTAGACATCTATGTCATCTCCTTTTAGACATCAAATATACATCACCAACATTTTAGGATGAAGTATATTAGACGTCACACAGATGTTTGAATGTTTCAGTGTTTACTGGGATAATATTATGTGTGATAACATAAAATTATGAAATTCGCGCGGAAATTCAAACGGGCCAATCAGAAGTCTCAATTGGTTTATAGGTGCCGAGACCGTCCACAGAATGCTAATATTATGCATCCCGGGCGGCTATGACAAGATTAGAAATTGCTTAAATGTTGCTTGTAGCGAGACCCCTTAACCGAGTTGTAGTGTATGTTACCTACGCTAATTATCCAAACCTTTACAAATATTTAGAAAATAATTTCAAACTGATTTTTAGAATTGGCAAAACAAGTACAAACTCGGAGGTAGGCCAGGCAGTCCCTGCTCGTATAGTCGTATATATTATTATATTTAAAAGTTTCAATGAATAAAATATTAAAGAAACTATCAGACCTAATAATAGCATTCACTAAATTCATAGAACGCATATTATTGTGCATCAATGACAATAAATATTTATCATAAATGATACGTTATTCTTAGTAGTATCCAATTTATCCATAAACAATTAAATTACAAAAAAAAATAACTAACAACGTTTTTAAAAAGCTAGGTACCTACTATGGAATGTGCAACTGCCAAGCAGGTTTTCGTGAATCGCTTTGGTATCTCGGACGACGTCGTCGATAAACAACGACCACAACGTGGCAACAGCTATTTTGCACAGAATTACATCGATTTCCCATTTTTGCCGACGTTTCTAAACAGCCAAACTACGTTATGTCATCGTCGGGACCGGAAACCGACGGTCACCGTGACCTCGGGCCATCGTCAATGTCAACGAAGAAAGCTCTCAAAAAGGGGGGCCATGCTCTGAGAAAGATGCGAGTGTCCATATTGAGATCAATCAAATCGTTGGTCCTCAACCGAGTGCCAGCTCACAGCCGGAAGTCCATAGAGACGCGTTATGCGAAACTTTTGCCCCGCGTGGCCATAACTTTGGCGGCTGTGCAGGGGGAGGGAGAGGCGCCGACAGCGAAGTACAAAGGAGACGCCGATGATTCCAGAAGTACTCTGCTGCCTCCACCCCATATTATGGCTGCGGCCGTTCTGCTGACCGACATATACCATCTGGAGCAAGAACTAAAACAAGTGGACGAGGAACGTGATCGGTTGATTACGGCTGGCAACGAAGAAATGTTTGGGTGCCAAATTATATAAAAATCTCATTTTTAATGTTAAATTATTTATATGAATACCTATAGAAATTTAATACAAGACTCCACATAATTCCTACTTTTAACAAAAACAAAAGTTTACCTAAAGGTGAGATACTTTCACATTAATATTTTATGTGTATTTACTATTTGCAGTTCAATTTTTTACGACGTTGGATATTCATCCGAAAATTAACGATATCTTATCGAACAAATTTCTTATTTTATTGTAATTTAAAAACGAATGTTTATAATATTGTAATTTTCTATACATGATAACTTTTTCGAAATATTGTAATATAATGTTCATTTTAAGTTTTTTTTTCCATACATTTTAAAAAATTACCAAAATCCGACATGAGAGTTTTACCTGTAAATTGTAAAAGCATTTTTGTTCATCAAATCAAAATAGTGCTTCTATAATTAATAGTCATCGAAGTCAATCACTGACTTGAGCATGCGTGTGAGTAAATATCTTTATCTGCTCATGTAATTATAGCTCACTCACATTAATATCGATTTACGTACACACACGCACGTTCTGCGCAGGGCCGATACCACATGTAAATTGAATTGCCTAAATTTTACTCCTTAATAAATGACCGGTACCGACACCCTTAAAATGAGGAAAAAGCGTGATGGGGGCTCATACCTTAAAAGGAAATACCTATTATATTATGGCTACAAATTCTTAATTTGCATATAGTATTTGAATAAGCATTTATAAAATTATATGTTGTGCTCTCAGTGTTTTTGTACAAAATTAGAAAATTTAGCGACGGAAAAATCACCTATATTATAGAGGATTTACTGGTGTGTAATGTACCTACTATAAAGTGAGAGAAATTTAAAATAAAATTCTACTCCACTCTAAGTATAGACTAACAAATTAACATTTATTGGTAAATCGAATTATTTTTAAAAGTGATCAAACCTCTGTCGTCCGTCGTTCTTAATTATTGATGATACGGAAAAATATCAACCGATTACAATATAAACAGTATAATAATGTATTAATAATGTATAAATGGACTCAGACTTGGGTAAAATATTTTTAAAAAGTATTTGGAATAAACACTCGAATACTTCATAAAAATAGTGTTTCGAATAAAGTACCTATTATTTAAAATAATTTTTAATTTTTGTTTTAAATACTAAACCAATTATACTTTTGTTCGGGAAAATTTGCCAACATGATATATAGTTTAATAATTCTAAATATAATATAATTTAAGTTGTTGATACTTGATTTAAAATTTTAAAACGTGTATAATATTGTAAAAATTTCTAGAAAAACAAGAAAACAATTATTATTAATTATATATTATTATGTTGCCCAAAAAGTTTGTTTTTGACATAGACTATGATACAATTATATATATATGTATATATATATTATATTCTTAGGCCACACGGGTTGAGAAGTGTCCACTTTCCAGTACCTTGTTGTATTAATGGGAGAGATGAAATGTATAATATTATGTTTTCTGTTTTTGTATAATATGTGTTTCTAATAAAGTTTGCTTCTTGTCAACGCCTTATTATTGGAATATTGAAAATTTCTTCAATAGTGTAAGAATTGTGGTGTGTTTTGTCATAGTTATAGTTATAGGTCTTCATTGAATTATATTTTATCTTCGGCCACACAGGCTGTTTGTTTTTCAGTTAGTGGTATAATTAGTGTCTTGCTGTCACTGCCTTATTGGAATATATTGATTTTCTTCTATAGTATCAGAGTTTATTGTGGTAATTTATGTTTGCATCTGGATGTACCTTTATCGTATATATTACCGTGTAAACGGTAGACATTTTATGATGGGACAGATTGTTTTCGATAATTTCAAGAGAGCAAGTGTTAGTTACCTATCTGTGATTTATGTATATGATAATTTTAGTGAATTCCTTGGGTGTTATTGACCTCTTGGCTCTTTGAACCGCGTTGATATGATATTGCAACATCTAGTTTTAATGTTTTAGAGTGAGAAGAGGGTACCTATAGTACATTTTAGTGATATTTCTAAGAATGTAAAATCAGGTGCGGAAAACAACATTGTTTTAAGTGTGTTAGGTTTTTTATGCTGGTAAAATCAATTTATATTATAGTTAGTTTGAGATGTATATAATTTTTATATTTTACCTTTCAGGATCTCGTTGATTAATAAATGCCGATGTCTATACTTAATGATTGTTTTATAAAATATTTATCTAGTGCAATATTCGTTTTGTTAGGTAGTAATTATTTTAAATGTATATTAATTTAACACAAATAATAAAATAAAATAAAGTTAGATGATGTTTTTAGTATTTAGGTTTAATTTGTGTGAAATGATTTTTAGGGTTTATCATGTATTAAATATTTTTTATACCGTTTGGTTAAAACTTAAAATGTAGCTCATTATTTGTTTTTTTTTTTTATCTTAATTTTATTTTAGGTACCTACATAATAGGTACTTATGTTTTCTTGTAGTTTTCATGTTATAGTGACTTATGAGTAAAGTTAAAAAAATTACTGTAGACATGTGTTAAGTATGATAATCCGTTATGATTTATAATTAAATGTAGTTTAATAAGTTATGGAAAGATTATTATAATGTTTAAAATTCTGGTGTTTTAATAATAAAATGTATTAATTTCTAATGTGTTTAATGTTTTTGGTAAAATAAAATAAGTGTATTATATTAAGATATGATATTATTTAATTAAGTTTTATTTGGAGGTTAGTGTCTAAAATGTGTTTATCAAATTATGAATTATGAAAAAGATTTTATGATTTTATATTTTTGTTTATTATTTTAATGATATTTTGAATGTAAGTATATTGTAGTAATTTAATAAAGTAGTAATTATAGTTGTACATAGTTTACTTATTTAACTATAAGTATTATGTATATTGTATATATAAAGGTTAGTGTCTAATGTGATAGAATATAACAATGTTCATTTTTGTGTTTTTTTTTATATTCATTTATTTTTTTTAGTACTTTAATTTTTATAATGTTTAATATATATTATTATATAATATTTTATAATATTTAAATGTACCTAGGTATAATATACTAATAATTAATAAAGGTTTGGAAAAGTAGTACCTAAGTACCTAATTCTAGTTGTATATATTATATACAAGGTGATTATTTTATCATTGAACACTAAATATTTCAAGAAGTGTAAATATTTTTGAAAATATTATATTAAATAGGTTCAAATCGTTTTTTATTAAAAAATTATACTTTCTAAATTCTAATATATTTTATACTTATACTTTTTTGAATGATAACATACAGTTTTAATTTCATATTCCAACGAGAATATTTGGCTAACTGTCTAAGTATTTCGAAACATAAAAATCAAATTTAGAGCGAGTAGTTTATGAGTTTTAAGTATTTAAAGTTTATATGAGTCGAGTGGTAGACAAATATTTCGCTGGGTAATCTCGTACCACTCCACTCATCAAAACTTGGAATACCTACTTATAACTCATAAGCTACTCGCCCTCAATTCGATTTTTATGTTTCGAAATACTTAGACAAATATTCTGCTTTGGAATATGAAATTGAAACTCTATGTTATCACTCAAAAAAGTAAAAACTTAAAAAATTATGTGACGTCCGACGCAAATAAGGCACACGAAAGTGCATTAATTATTATAAGGCAATTTATCCTGCGGACCTCTGCCGATCGATGACGGAAACCCCCTGAGCAGCAGTAGCACACACGGTCCCCTTCCTTATGTGCCCGTTGTTTAGGTATAATGTATGTGTGTCACACCGACGATATCTTTACCGAAGCACCCAGAGTATTGGTCACTCATTGTTATCAATTATCTGCGTGGTTGTGACAAATGTGACTCCATCTGTAGCTTGTCGCCTGTTCGTGCCATCCACGATAGCCTGGTATAGGCCGACAGAGCAAAATACCGACACTCCATTTTTACCCGTTCCAGCAACATGACCAACGAGTAGACACCGTTTTTGCTGATGCGCCGACGGGCGGCACATGAAAACATCATGCTTACATACGGTAATGTTTTTTGTTGTTAACGCAACCATTTATTATATAATATAATATTATTTCACCATGGCCTAGACTTTTGTCTATGTGTTTATTATTATAAAAGGTGGTTTATTAGATTTTTATTCCGCCCGACGGTAACCGCTTGGTAGGAACCGGCTGGTACTTTATGTATTATAATAATTGTAATCGGAAAAAAAGTCCCGGTAAAAAAAGGCCCACACTAGGAAAAGAAAGTCCCGAAAAAAAAGTAAGTTGTGCTTTGTATTTTAGTGTGTAAGTGTAATGAATAAAATGCTTGTACATATTGTATATTTGTCATCTATACCATAATAAGTAATAAATAATAGAAAAAAAAGTTTACTGGAAAATTTACCAAAATACTTATTCTTATACTGCAGTTGTACAGTTGTACTTTGTACTTATTGTAGTGTGTAATGTATAGGTAGGTATAAAATAAATTTGTTATCTACCATAATAACTATCATAAGCCATATATTATTTTGATCCTATATTAATTTGTACACTAGAAAATTCCCCATTTCCGAACATCAGACACAGACACACAGTCATGATATAGGTAATAATGAGACTGTTGTCAGTCTTTTGGATGACATCGTATAATATCGTATCGTATCGTTTATACGTTTGTTTTTAAATTTTATATATTTCGCAGTTTATAACAAGTGTAAAATTAAAAAATGGAGTTGGAGTTAATTAATTCTAACAAAAAATACCCTCAAGTTGCGCATAAGGGATTTTTGTACAATTTCCACAAAGAATGCTCTAATTTTCTTCGTTGGAGGTGTTCAAAAAACAGCTCTATGAAGTGTTCATGTTTTTTAAAAACTGATTTCGAAAATGTACTATCTCAAAAAATGGAATAAAATGGAGATGTACAATTAAATCGTGTACTTCGAATTTTTTATGTGATGTAAGTGAAACGGTGCTTTTAAAATCTAATTTTGATCATAACCACGAAGCAAGTTCAAA